TACTCGTTCTGCGCAGACCCGTGAAACCCGTGATTTGTACCACCGTACATCACGGAGCAACAGAAAATTTTCTTCCGCCTATCAAACAGTCCCTACCTAGCGAACCTAACCCGCCGCTAGGCAAATTTCAGATATGAGAGTCCCGGTCTGCAACCAGACGGCCCCATTTCCTCTGATCCAAGATATCTTGGATCGATCAAAGTGCTACTGGACATAGCGTCTCCTTGACGCCTACCGGTAATTTTATCGGTTGTGTCACTTTTTAATCCTGTTTCACACCTTGGTTTGCCTTTTTGTGATCGTTTTGCGGTTGTATACGTGTTTTTAATTTCTCCTCTCTCTTCCACTTTAAACATGGTGTCTCGCTAAAATCCGAGGCGGATGAAATATTTGGGTCCTCGATTTATGAGTCCCATGCAGCTTGCGGCAATTCAGTGCCATGTTTGCTTTCTTTGGTATCACAAAACTTGTACCGGCCTCCGAGCGAATCAGTACAATATGCTATCATCCAGTGAAAACCTGTTTAGATGTGCTGGTTGTTGCGCTCAGAAAGCGAAGCTCCCGGCTTTCACCTGTGCTGAATTCAGAGCCCGGATACCCCGAATCCTGGTAAACAGAGCAATGACGCTTCAAGCTCGCCCAGCGGTTCCTACCGCGGATTGCCTGTAGCTTTTATTAATGTATGCAGCTTAATGAACAAGCACGATGATCTGATCCGCTTCATTGCTTCACGTCGGCCAGATGTGGTTGGTTTGGCTGAGACGTGGTTGACATCTGAAGTGACAAGCGAAGAAATTGCGATCACGGACTATTCGTGCTTCCGCTGTGATCGACAGTCGAATAGCCGCGGTGGCGTTATACTTTACCTCCGGTCTACCCTGTGCGGGAGACTCGTGAGCACCTACCGAAGCATTGACGGTCTATGTGAGCAGCTGTGGTGTTCGATCCACCTACGACGCGGCGAACTGCTTGTGGGTGTGGCATATCGTAGCCCACTGAGTAACGGATTGGATTGGCTCACACACGTCCAAAACCGAATGAGTCGCCCGCAGTTCCTGCTCACTGGTGACTTTAACCTTCCTCGAATCTTATGGCCTGAAGTTCAGCTTCTCCCTGGCCATAATGAAGTGGAGACAAGATTCGCCGAACTGGTACTGGAAACCGGAACGGTACAGCACATCACGCAACCCACCCGCATAACCCCGCGCTCAATGCCATCATGCCTGGACCTGCTGCTAACCAGCTGCGAACAAACAGTGCATGACATAGAAGTTCTTGAGCCCATGGTGGCCAGTGATCACTCGACAATTATAACTACTATAGACCTGCAGCTTCCATGTGTGCGTCCAGTGGCGCCAACGTACAACTATTGGAAAGCTGACTTCGATGGCCTCATTCTAGCTGCCAATCAGCTTGATTGGTCTATGCCACAGGATTCATCCGTTGAAACTTGCTGAGCAAACATTAAAGGGGCAGTGCACTCATTGTGCGCAATTTGTACCCCTCAAGACTCGGAAAGTTGGACCAATGAAACACCATTGGTTTGACAAAGAGTATAACCGACTGTCTCGACAACGGCGTCGACTATGGAATGCGTTCCTCCTGTCTGGCTCTGCCGATGACTATGAGGCATACAAGCGACAACAAAACTTGTGCAACAGCACAAAGACGCGAAAACGCCGTCAGTTTGAGGAGCAGCTTGCTTGCTCAGCTAAAACTGCCCCGAAGCGCATATTTGCGTACGTGAAGCGACGCCTGAAGTCTGCAGGTGATGTGCCGGTGCTAGTGGGTTCGGACGGACAACTACTAAGTTCAAGCACCGAGCGTGCGTCCGCATTAGCGGCGCACTTCGCTTCTGTATTCGCAACTAACCAAACCTGCGCGCCAAGCTCTGCCGTCGCCGCACCGACTGAGCTAACCGACTTGATCTGCGACGTCGCGGAGGTACATGGGCTAGTCAGCTGCCTAGACAGCACGAAGCCAGCTGGACCGGATGGTCTCCATCCGCTGATCCTCAAGTCCTTGTCAGCTGTGATCTCACCTGCTGTAACCGACCTGTTCAACCGATCCCTGTCCATAGGCTGCGTGCCTTGTGACTGGAAATGCGCCGTTGTCAAACCGATTCCAAAAGGCGGTGACAGGCAAAGTGGAGAATTACCGCTCTATTTGTTTGACCGCAGTATTGTCGAAAGTTCTGGAGAAGATTGTGAAGAAGAGACTGCTCCAGCTACTGGAGACCAACTCTCTCCTGTCGCCTGCACAGCATGGTTTCGTGAGAGGCCGCTCGTGCATCACTAACCTGCTGCTAACATGGCATGAATGGTTGCAAGCAGTAAACCAACGTAAGTCAGTCGACGTGGTATACGTCGATTTCAGTAAGGCCTTCGACAGAGTGAATCACGAGATCCTCCTTCAGAAACTGAGGGAGTGCGGAGTCGGAGGCTCGCTGCACCAATGGATCCGTGACTTCTTAGTTGGACGGAAGTGGAGGGTGCAAGTCGACAGCCACCTGACCGACTGGTACCCGTCGACGAGCGGCGTCCCTCAGGGGACGGTGCTTGGCCCCATTCTCTTCCTGATTCACATCAACGACGTGCCCAATCTCCTCCGGTCGCCGTATGCCTTGTTCGCAGATGACCTGAAGCTATGGAGGGTGATCCATACGTCGGACGACTTTGACATACTTCAGCAGGACCTCGACCGCCTCTCCATGTGGTCCGCCGAAGTAAGTTTGCCTATCAACTCGGCAAAATCGCTACTTCTGTGCCTCGGTAAAGGTGGAGCGGGCCGATCGTACACTCTCGACGGCCAAGTTCTACACCCGACGCATTGCGTCAGAGACCTTGGCGTTATACAACGTTACGACATGAAGTCACTGGACAACACGGACAATATGTATCGCACAGCATTGCGTTCGCTGTGGGCGCTGAAACGTAGCTTCTGCACCTGGTCGAAAGAGATTGCCACTCGTCTCTTCACATCCATTGTACGACCGGTGCTAGAATACGGCTCACCCGCCTACTGTCCGTTGACGAAAGGCGAGATACACAAGCTCGAAAGAGTACAACACATAGCCACACGGCTCATTCCCGGTCTTCAGGGTGTGCCGTATGAAGAAAGATGCAGACAATTAGGTCTGTATACTCTAGCCTACCGCCGCGTGCGAGTGGACCTCATCATGACCCATCGGGTATTGCATCTGGGTGCTTATCCGATGCTGAGGCCACTGCTCCATGTCCGTGCGTCAAGCAGCACACGAGGTCACCAGTACAAACTGGTAGTCCCTGACCTCAAGTGGGTAGCTCATCCCTTGTGTCTTGAGCGGCGAGTGGTGAACATGTGGAACCGTTTGCCCTCGCGGATAGTAGAAGCGAACTCGGTGTCGGAATTCAAACGATTCCTGGACGCGCACTTTGCGGATGCCAGATTCGACGAAGCCTTCACAGGAAACTGACGAAGGAATCGTTCAATGATTATAACCCATGGAGCCCGTTAATCCACCAACTGCAGCTTCCGAAACGATGCCCATCCGTAATAGGCGGCGGAGCTGGTGAAGGACTCCATGTGGTTCATCCAAGAATATATCGTAAGTACATGGAGATTTTTTCTGTGCTTGTAAATATTTTACTATTTTACTTTTTTCACCTGGGCTAGCTCACTACTACAGGTAACACTGTGTCAGTGGGACATGTCCTACATTGAGATATAGCTACATAGATGTTCAACATCTTTCTCGCTATCATGACAGTAAAGTAAAGTAAAGTAAAGAGCACTGGCATCCAGATTCACAGTTGTTGAGAAGGCACTAGCCGAGCTTACCTCTCTTGCTTCGCTCAACTCTAAAGTGGATTTTATTATGAAATCCCCGAATATTGGGAATGTGGATGCTGTAACGGGCTGTACTTCTGCTGACAGTCCAACCGTTGACAAGGCATTCCTCCTGACGGACGCTCCAGTTCACGTGGATATAACTGACACAGATGCCTCGGACGGCATTTTTGACCCGCTCCAAATGGAAGGCGAGTCACGGGCTCATGGGCCATTGAAGGATAAGCGTAAGAGAGCAAGGAAAACGCGCAAACCCTCCGCCCCCAAACCGGAAGGTGATAAAATGCTCAAGAAACAAGCGCCTGAGTTGGAAACACCACCTGGTGTTGCAATTCCCTCAGTGAGACAAGTGGTGCCGTCGCCTTCCGTCCCATCGATTCCTGTCATACAACCATGTGGCGAGGTGTAAATACACCTCGTCGAGGCGATTCTTGCACAGATAGCAGTGTGATTTTCAGAAACGTCACTGAATCCACTGCTTCTCTTCCCACCGAGCGCATGCTTGATGATCTTGGTTGGCTTAAGGTTTGCGTGACCAGGCTTTTACCACCAGGTTTCCCTGGTGTTACTGTCAGGAAGCTCATCAGGTTGGGGAACGTTCCGGTTGGTCAAACAATTCCTCGACCCCGTATGCTTAGGGTGGTCCTCTTCACCCCAAAAGAGTGCAGGGCCTTACTGCGATATGCCTTCAAGCTCAAAGGTACCAACGTTAGTGTGCAACCAAACCTTCCGTTAGTGGATAGGTTAAAGGAATAATAATGTGTCAGCTTATACGCCGTAACGGCGCTTCGCTGCCGCGCGACCACCACCAGTCGCGCGCGGGCTGAGTATACCGCGAGGACGCCCACCCCTACGCGGATTCGAACCGGTGACCTTATGGTTGGAAAGCAAACGTGCCAACCACTCGGCCACCGGCCGACTAGGTTAAAGGAAGCCATCAGAGACCTAAAAGCCGGGTGTGCAGCTGGCGAGCAAGGTAACCGATTTGTGGGTTTTCAGGTGGTCAGCCGGCGGTCCTTTTCCGCCTTGCCAGAACCTATACTACTTGCGCACGAGGTAGGGCTGGTCGTGCCGAAGCCCTCCAAGTAGTATTTAGTAACGTGCGTAGCCTGAGGAACAAGATGTGCGAGGTGGGTCTGCTCGTAGACAAATCTCGTCCAGATATACTTGCTTTCACTGAAACGTGGCTGTCTGAGGAAATCACAGATGGCGAAGTATAGCTGCCTGGCTATGCATTGTTCCGCGCTGACCGCTCCATTGGCCGTCAAGGGGGTGGTGTAGCTCTTTATGTGAGTTATCACATCGATGTACTGAGGACCAGCGTTTTTCAGTCTCTCGACAAATCTGTTGAGGCACTCGCAGTATTGATTTGCGCTTCCTCGGTTCAGGTTACGGTCGTGTTAGTGTATAGAAGCCCTATGAGCACCTCCAATGGAGTCATTGGGTTTATACTCACTCACTCTGCGAACAAGTGTCTGGTGCTGGGAGACTTCAACCTCCCAGAGATCTGTTGGGATTATCTATCTTGCAGTTTGACTCTGGAATTCTTCGGTACAGAACTGCTGGACTTAACGCTGCACGTGCCACTACACCAGTTCGTGGACCTCCCCACTAGGTACATGAGCAATCAGCAGCAGTCTATTTTAGATCTCGTTTTTGCTAAGTCACTTGACTTTGTAAATGACATTAAATACGCCTCGCCTCTTGGCGCTAGCGACCACGTTTGCTTGTCTTTCCAGTGTGCTCTTATCAGGCCTTGCCAAGTTACTACCAGTTGGTATCCAAACATTTGGGCCGCGGACTTCCAAGCGATGCGGGATAGAGCTAGGTCATCGCCTTGTGTGATATCTGAGACCGACACTGTTCACATAGCCTGGGAAAAGCTTAAGGCTCACCTCGTCGACATTTCTGCACTTCACGTCCCACTGGTTAAAAGAAGGGAATCGAGAGCGCAGCCTCTGTGGACAGATTCCGCGGGGAAGGGCCTGCTAAAGAAGCGGTCTAGATGCTGGCGAGCTTACCGAAGAGCTCCGTCGAACAGCACGTTTGATAAGTATCGGTTGGTTCGAAATGAGTGCAAGCTAC